ATAATTCACAGTTTGCTGGGACATTTTAGATATTTAAAATAATATCACTAAGATTTTTCTTATTTCCCTTTTTTGTATGTAAAAACAATGCATTAAACAACTTTCTTGGATATTGAAAGGAATTTTTTCTTCCATTTCGGTTTTAGAAGGTCAACATGAACAAATAACTGCTGAGTAATATATAATTAGGTGGTATTTACATAAAAATTTCTTCTCTTTCTTTTTTTTCTAATCAGCTTTTTCTTTGGCAGGGGGACAAACAGTTGCTTCTAATTGCCAAGATATCCCACAACAAAAAATACTGGCTACATCCCTATGTCCTAGGAACAACATGAGTTCTGGGCAAGGAGAAAGCAAATTCACTGTTTTTTCATGCACCTTATTTCCTCCATAGGATCTTTGGGATCCTCTAGAGGGAATGAGGTGTATGAAACGACAGTAATGACAATTTTATGATATTGTTGAATATCAAATTCAGTCAGGCTCACCAGTTCCCAAAGACAACCCCAGGAGATGTCATGAAAGAAGACACAAGTATCTCGTGTTTGCACAGCACTGCATGAGGATGAGAGTGCCACCTGAATATCAGCAGTGTAACCATTTGCTACCACTCACAGGTGCATAAATATAGCAGGATTTTTTTCCAAGTTCTTGGCAATACATTTTGTGCATCTGAGTTTGGAAGATGTCTCTAACATTTTAAATGCTTAGTGGCAAGCTTGCTATAGGAAACAGTCAACAAACTAAAAGAAAATTTGAATTAGATTGAAATAATTAGATACAAGAGCTCCAGTTAGAGAATTATTTCATTCTTTAATGCTTGCTGTTATTTATGTGTATAGCTGGATTACTCCCAGGTTTCAATCAGCTTCTACCAACAAAAAGCTCAGTGGAGAGGGAAAAATTGTTGGACACAAGACATAAAAAATCCTTAGTGTAAATGAAGATCAGGTTTATATATTTTATACTTTTCACACATTCATTAAATCCACACAGTCTGAACTACATTTACTCTTTTATTCTGTCACCTGACAGTTACTTTGTATTGCATGGCAGGGCCAAGTTGAGAGCAGGCACAGAGAAACCAAAACACCATTTGTGATGAATTGTAGAGTGTTCTTCACCAAAAGAAGAAATACTAGGAAAGAACCTGGTCATATTCCTTTCTGCAGCTTTATAATGTATTAGATATTCACAAATAACCTTTACCAAACCAATGCTTTCTCATCTGTTAACAAGTGAGACCTTCCAACTGAAACTTTTTAAAAACGAAATTTAACATCAGACCATGCACAGCTTGCTGCTCTGTTGTATTCTCATTACTCACCCAGGTAGTGTTTGTACTTTTACAAGCCTCCCTCCTGGGGTATTTCTCTAGTTGTAAATTTAGATATACCACCTCTGAGTGCTGTGCACTGCCCACCTCAGCACCATTGGGGACAGCATGCAGTGATCCACTTAATGCTGTTGTTAATGCTGGCTTCAGGCTACAGGAAAAGGAGTCGAAATTGCCTGGAAAAACTGCTCTCTTGGGTGTACAGATATGCTCTGCATGACTTCTGACTATTTTTAATATGGTGCTAAATGGAAGTTCTCACAAAATACCAAAGGAATTATGTACCTGGATATACCTCTCAGGGTCAGGCATTGCTGTTGTTCATTGCAGGTATATTCTATGACAGCAAGGCAACTAGTAACTGAAGTGCTTTGGACTGAAAGATTTGCAATACTGGACCATGGAAGTCAGAGACAGAAGAGGTCATGAAGACCATGTCTGTTTTTTGGGTTTTTTTTTTTGTCAGCACAGGAACAACACTGCTGGACGACTGTGTTGGAAAGTTATGAGGAAAACACAGGTCCTTTTTCTGAGGCAGCTGAATTTACCTCACTGCCATCCTCAAAGCACTCTATTCCATTACCTTTGCACATTTTCTAGGCTGCATAGCAGCTCTCTGTTGTCCCATATTTTGCATCTATATAAAATATATGATGTCTATAAAAGTATAATTCTCACCTAGTACACCAGAGGAGCCACACAATCAATGTGACAATACAAAGTTTCAGGAATTCAAAACCCAGGGAATAAACCTGTGCCTGCTGAAGAGTTGGCAACAGTATATATTGTACCAGGAGACCTTCTGGGGATTGGTGAGATAGAATAAAGATGGAGAAGACAGGAAGGGAAAAAGCCCTATCCTGTGTGTATTTATAGAAACACTTTTAAACACCTTTGTGACAAAAGGAAGATTTTAGCCAAGGTGCTGGAAAATCCATGGCTCCTGGGCAGGAAACTGGAATGACATTCCACTTGTAATTTTTTTTGCTGAATTTGTGCTCTCCACCTAGTCTCTCTTATGTGCTCACCTGAATAAGCTATCACATATTGTACTGCCTGTGGACAGTCTTGGGGTAGTCAAGCCTGCTTCAGAGTAAGGATTAAATTACAGAGCAGAAGTTTGTGAAGATTGAAAAAGCCTGGTATGACAAGCACTTTGAGCAATGACTAGCATGAAAGGGCCAAAACAGTATCTGGATTCCCGGAACACAAAGTTCAAAGAGAAAAGTTGCAATGAATTTCATTATAGTTTGACTCAAGGTAAATACTTGATTAAAGAAGACATTATAGTCTGTAAGCTCTGTAATTTTCTTCACACAAACTAATCATTCCAGCTCCTTTCTACTCTAGTACATATTAATTTTCAGTTTTATAGCTTTCAGTGAATTCTTAAATAACATTTACTTTTTCCTTGCATGCACTATTTATTTTTATTCATACAGACATCCAACAAAAACTGAAGAAACACTGCATTATATTGTAATAACAGTCAGACATAACCCCAGGGAGACAAAATGTATTTCACTAATTTCGTTTTTGTGACAAAGTGGCAACTAGGGAAGAAATATGACCCCATGTGTAAGATAGCAGCCTAGACCTAGAAAAATTAATTTGAGACTCCCTTTTACCATCGCTTTGCCATTTTACTTCGGGCAAGCAGAATTTCCTGACCCTTAAACAACTTGATATCATTGACTAACACTTATTCTGCATAAAGCAAGGTACCCAGACAAGCTCCCTGTGCCCCACCTCTGCTCCTATGAAAGGAGTATAACAGCACATTCCTATTTCCACATTGTGGTGCTCTTTACAGAGAAGCAGAAGGGAACAAGGGCAAATTAAGTTTTCCATTTACCCCAACAGCATGCAGAGCAAAAACTCTTCCCACAGTTCTCTCTCGTCCATGTGCTGGGGGGGGCTGTGTCACCTCCCCATGCTTCACACACCTGTGTTTTTTGGGTTGTGGCAAGATCATTAGTAGAGATGGAAGCTAATGCTGATATGGTTATCTGTGCTCTGATGGTTGTACTGAAACTCATTTATTTTACACAGAACATCAAATGGGCGTTGAATGCTGATGAAGTGGTTTTTTATTATCAATCTGTGCTTCTGGGCAGAGAATCATAAATGCTAAAATATCTAAGTACTCCAGAGCAAACTCCAACAGTTTTTGCCTTAAGGTCCATCTCACAGATGATGTAAGATAATATTGCTTAAAAATTTCTTTTTTTATCTTCACAAGTACAGTATCTGACCTAAAAATTTCATAGGAGGATATTTATAGTAGCTACAAGAGTTATTTTTCATCAAAATGTGCTTGTATATTTCTCTGAAAGATTATCTTACATTCCGCTGGTCAAACCGCTGGAACACAGTTATTACATAGCATCTAAATCACTATTGGCAGCATCTCCTCAGGCATGCCTGGCTGGACTTGTGGAGAGAGGAGCTGTCTGACAGTCATTTAAAGGGTAGCAGTTTTGGAACACATTTTAGCAACAATGCAGGGAAGAAATCACAAAATACAAGACATTTTCCCAGCTTACCTTTAAAATTCAGAAGTAGTGTACCATAAAAATAACTCAGCACATCAGAATTCTATACTTAAAACTGAAAAAAAACCCCACGTCCATGCTGATGCTCAAGGCAGATTGGTCTAGAGAGGTGAAATCACCTTCTAAACTCCCAGCCATATCTGCTGACAAAAAACACTTACAGAAATCCTTTCTGCCCATGCATCTGGCATACTCCAGAGCTCCTGTTCACCATAGTCCAGGTGCCCAACACCCTCTCCTGCTCTCCTCGTCCAATCTTGTGCTCTGAAGACCCAGATAGCCCCATGGCCACTGTTAAGGAAGGAGTCAATCCTTTCCAACTCTTGAGTGTTCACTCTAGTCTCCCATTTCATTGTCCCATGCCCAGAACTGATGTGATTTGGCAGCCCTCTGCTATTCCCTCCAGTGCCACTGGATATTCATAAGAACATGGGATTTAAGTTGGAAGTAGATTTATAAGGCTCCGGATCTAGTTCTGTGCTACTGCAAATAAATATCCCCCATAGTTCTGAGGCAGTGACCTGTAAGGGTAAAGTCATGTTAGTAGGAACACACCAATGTACATCATTTGTGGATGTGCCTTTAAGAAGCAGAGAAAATTGAGATTTAACATCAAAGTAGGAAGTCCATGGTACTTTCCTGTACTTATAACAAAATCAATATAAAGAAACATACAGCTGGAAGGAACGCTAGCTTGATAAAATCACAGTAAATTAGGAGTCCTTTAAGGGAATGGATGGTGTAGCTTCTTCCACAGAATTAGGCACTTCAAATATTGACAGAACTTGTAAAGCACAATCAATATACCAATTCCTCTGTGAACTATTAATTATATATATTGCTGATGAATAATCATTTAATTAGCATAATGGGAGGCTTCAGTGAAAAGGCCCTCTACCAAGCATACTGGACCTAAAAATAGCAATAGCATTTCAACCATGAGGCCTTGCATGAAAATGCAAATGCTCAGCTTCTGGTCTTAACACTTGTTACATTGTTCTGCCAATACAGAGCTTTGCTTATAAAGGTTTTGCCCCTTATCACTGCAGTACTGCCATATATAATTTGTACCTCTAAGGCAAAGTGATGAGGGGTTTGGTATGGATTACCTGAATCAGTTCATCAAGCTCTGTTGCATTCACACAGGAATGCTGAGATACAAACGTCTGCTTCTGAATCACAATGGTGGTTCTCTGGGAGGTCTCATGAGGCTGCTCCAGGGCTTTAAATACTGTTGCTCCAATTATTAAATACACGACTACCACCAGAAAAATTGTTGAGACTGTCTTCCATTTCATAACATTAATGGCTGAGTCGCTTTCCTCCCGTGAAGCGAGCACGGTAGGCTTGGTGGAAAATGATAATCTTGGTTTGGAGTTCTGAGTGGCCGATTTGGGATCCAGCAAGTCAGGTGCCGCCACTGGCAAAAATAGAAAAAGAAAGTTAATGTTTACAGTGCCACTCAGATTTCACTAATTAAACTTCTTGCCAAGAGATTACACGAATTCTGTTGCTTCTAAATGGAATTCTTAAACTGCTGAATCTTTCTCTTAATCACATGACATCTTACAACAAATCTGTTGCTCTGAGTAGTAGTGTCCATCTTACATGCATATGCACATTTGCAACATTTTCTATGTCTGCCCCCATATGATATTGAATCATTTCCAAAAACAGATTTCTCCTGCACCCTTGCATTTCATTAAATTACTCTAAGGTAGTTTTGCTGCAGGGATTCTTTACGTCCGCTGCTCTCTCAAGCACTGCTAAGCAGCTTTCCAGCTGTGCTCTACCTCAGTGTTACAGAAGTATCAGGAAAATACAAAACCTTGTCTCTCTCACCTATTATGTCCTATGCTCCAACAAATGGTCTCGGAGAACAGTTGTGTGATCATTTCTAAACTCCCCAGACACAACCGTAAAAAGGAGACATTGCTCATCATGCCGGTCTTAACGGGCTAATTGTTTATTGATTACACCTTTCAAAAAATAGTGGTACAACACATGTGTGCTTACTGGAAGAGCTGTGCATTCGTTAGAGCACGAACTTCTATTTACAGCTACAAAAATCCACCGGGTTAGGAAAAGAGTAGCTGAGTGTGTTAATCAAGTACTTGGATAACGCATGTGACTACCAGTAACTACATGGGTACTAAAAAAAAAAAAATCCTCCACATTAAGTACAGGTGAAGATCTCCTGTGGGAAGATGGTCATAACAGTGACCACATAAGCTATATATAAATTGTTTTGAATAACCAGTACGTTTTAAATGGCCAAGTCAGCTCTTCCAGCTCTTTTTCTGGTGGGAAAAGCTCAGATCTAAATCTAGTGGAAAGTCTCCCACAGGACGGCGGAGATGGGATGCGTCTCTGCAGGGAAGGCGGTGGCACTTGGCAGAGTCACTGCCTGGGAACCCCCCGGGCTCCGGCGCACAACGGGCTCCGGGAGAAGGGGCAGGGGGAGAGTGAAAGCCCCAGCCCGGGCCGAACGGGGACCCGGGGCACCCCTCACAGCCCGCGGGGTGGGCGCCGGGCACTCCACGCTCGCCGCGGTCACGCCTCCCACAGCTCCGGCCCCCGCCCCACGGGCACCCGGGGGTCGGGCACAGCCCCCCCGTCCCGCACCTTGGCGGGGGGAGCCCCTTTCCCCCCGCCGCCGCCTTCTTTCCCGTGGCAGCCCCCTCGCCCTTCCGATCCCCCAGGGCCGGTGCCGGGGAGCGCTCTCAGCGCGGCAGCGGCCGCCGAGCCCGCCCGGAGCAGCGCCGACCCGCCGCGGCCGCCGGCGGCGAACAAAGGAGCGGGCACCGGGCACCGCCGCTCCGCCGCCGGCCCCGCCGCCCCCTCCCCGCGGCCGGTGCGGTGCGCCGGGGGACGCCCGCCGCCCCCGCGGGGTGCAGCCCCCGTAGCCCCCGGGAAGCTGCCGCCGGCTGGGATGCTCCGCCGCGGGGAGCGGCGCGGGGGCGAGGCGGCCGGCGGAGGAGCCGGGGCGCGGCGCGAGCGGGGCCGGGAAGGGAGGGGAAAGGAGCCAGGCAAGGTACAAAGGAGCCCCGGGGCGCCGCGGGGAGCATCCCGGGGTCCGGTGCGGGGGAAGCAGGGGCGCATGCAGCATCCGCAGGGCTGGGAGCGGGGAGGCACGCCATTGTGCTCGTACTCACTTCTTATTTACCGACCCGGTGCCCTCTCCTCGCTCCACGGGCAGGCATTTTTTCTATGCTTGGGTAGATACAGTTAGAGCAAATTAAAAAAAAAAAAAAAAATTAAAATTTAAAAAAAAAAAAAAAAAGAAAAATAAAAGAAAGGCAGGAGCAGACCGAGAGGAAGAGACTGATAGATGGGTCTGGAGGAGAGGGAGCGGCAGGGGCGGGCGGGCTGGCAACGCGGATCCCGCCGGCTCCCCCCGGCCCCGCGGCGTGCGAGGTGCCTCACGTCGCGCATCGCGCATCGCACATCGCGGCGCTCCCGTGTGTGCGAGTGCGTGCGAGTGCGTCCGTGTATATGTGAGCGCCTGTGTATGTGTGTGTGTGTGTGTGTGAGTGTGAGTGTGTGAGAGTGTCCCTGCGCGCTCCGGTGCAGCCCGAGCCCGGCGGTGCCTTTTGTGGGGCGGCGAGGAGCAGCCGCACCGCTGCTTGCCCCCCCCGCCCCTCCGCGCCCCCTTCCGCGCCCCCCGCCGGCGGGGGGAGCCGCTCCCGGCCCGCCGGGGCTGCGCGCCCCTCCGCGCCCCTCCGCGCAGCCTGCCCGCCTAGGCGGCCGGGGGATGCTGCAGGGGCGCCGGGGGAAGGTGGAAGAGGAGCCGGGGAGAGGCAAAGCGGTACCTGCCGACAGCAAGGTCTCGCCTGGAAACAAGCGAGGAGAGAGGAGGGAGAGAGGGAGGAGGAGAAGGCACCGGCCGGCCCCGCCGGCGAGGCTGGACTTGCCGGCGGTCCCCGCTCCAGCCCCCCACACCCGGTCGCCTCGCCAGAGCCTCCCCGTGAACTTTTGAACTGTCCGAAATGTCACCGAATTAGCAGGAGAGGGGAGACAAGCGGGGACACCTCGGCCCTCGCCGGAGAACGGCGCGGGGCTGAAGGGGCAGGCGGTTCCGTCCTTCCCGGCTCGGCCTGATTTTAACCCGGTGCTTGGCAGCCCTGGTGAGTTGCTGTAAGGAGTTAACTAGGTGGGATCTAGGAGTCAGGGATGGTAGCTGCTCTCCTATCGCACGCACCGCCTGCGCACCGCCTTCTTCCATTTCAGTCTGATAGATACATCAGAAATGCTGCTTCAACTGTGCTTTCTGCCACTAAAAAGCCTGAAATTATCCTTGCTATTTCTGCCATGGGCTAACTCCCCTATCTCCCAGTCATCTGTCACCTGTGACACTATCCATGGGTCAGTTCACACTGAGGTGAAGAGCATGAAGACAAATCCTAGAAGAGGATTTACCAAGAGAAACGAAAAACTGCTCCCACAACCACTCTCTAAAAAGTCTAAAAAAATACTCACTGTAACAAACGGGTGTAAGTCTCAAGCATTTAAAGCCAGAGGCTCTATCTGTAAAATGGCCAAAGACAGTCATACATCGGGTGTTTAATGGGCTATAATCCCGCTTAAATCAGCAGCACCATCAGCAAACACTTTAGAAGTCACTTATTTTAACGCTTCTCCATATCAATGTGACATAATACAAATGAGTGTAAGGCTGAGTTCCTTAGGACTCCAGTTTCAGCAACATCAATCACACCACTCTCATCCAGTGCGTCCACAAGTCTCCACAAGATACAGCACAGGGCAGGAAGCTGCCTCTGCTATTTCAGAGCGAGCTGTAGCTCATTGCTGCCCATCCCTGGGAACCAGCTGAGCACTTGTCGAGTGAGGAGAGCCTCTGGGCCCTGTCCAACAACCCCTGGCAAGCAGATCTTCAGTCACAGGGTTGGCTTCATCAACACAGTCCCAATACTCAAACACAAGACAAACGTCTGCTTCTGACTACTGATACTCCCTCACTCAAGGAATGCTCAAAGATGACTCTCACACCTGAATATTTTTAATATAGAGTACTCCCCCCCAAAAAAACCCATAATCTTTTCTCATTTCTCTCCAGAAGGTTTCTTAATCATCAGCCTACATAAACACTGGCTGCTCCTATCTCATGGAAAAGAATAATTTCACAGGATTTCTTTGAACATCCTATGGGAAAACAGGCGTGAACATTTTCCTCCATGCTGACATGTGTCTCCATAAAGTACTGTGGAAAATAGTACTACATGCCTTTCTTTAACAATCTAAATATTTGGAATGAGATTTTGTTTTTCCTTGAGTGAAGGAATTATTATTAAAAGCTTTAAAAGGGTCATATTTATTGCTTACAAATTGAAATCCATGGGAAGCCTTCTAATATCTTCAGGAGGGTTGGGAGCAGGCCTTAAATTTAGGGATTCCACCCAATGGGAAGAAACCATTTTGAGATCCACTCCCAGAATGACTGCATTGGTGCCTTAATCTTAAGACCTGAAGAGCTGTCTGGAAAAGCAGTTATTTCCATTAATTACCTAGTAAATATCTCCAGTGACTACTTTCAGTTGGCTGATATTTTCCACCTATTGTGATCCCAGATGCAATCCTCAGCTGGATCCTCATCTTACCACTTACTTTGAGTGGACTTGAGCTGTACATTCTCATTTCTAGCAGGGATATAAACACTCTACATACAGCAGTGATTTCCAGTTCAGCAAGAAAACCAGTAATTCTTTTTGTAGTCTACAATAAAAACTATTGTGTACAGCAGCTTCTATTTTCTGGAGGCCTTTTACTGCACCATCCTTTACTCTATGGAGTCACGCCCACCAACATGTGTTTTTTGGTGTTTTTTTGTTTTTTTGTTTTGTTTTGGTTTTTTTTTGCCATGTACACCACACATTGTTTGAATATTGTGTGTGACCATTTTGCCCTCAAATTTGGAACTGACATTCAACCAGCTTGATGCATCAGACCTGAGCTTTGCTAAATAAACACACTTAAATGCAGCACTGACAAAACTTCCCACTAAGCAACATAGACAAAATTAAGTAATAAAAGGGGCTAAAACTCAGATCTCCAGCCTTGCAAGCAAATGGATTTGCTGCTGAGCCAAGGAGATTTATCCGAACAAATTGGAAAAAAAATTTTTTCTAAGATTAAGTATAAGCAGGTTTGTGTATTTCATGCCAACATAAGAAAAACTCACAAAATACAGGACTGTCAAATGCTGTCTAAAAATGTATTGGCATGAGTTTGGGATGACCACAATATTCACAGACAGTGGCTGCTGGAAGCTGCTCAACTCTTTGAAATGTTAAAAGTAGGCTCAGCCAAGAGAGACAGACATGCAGCATGCAGAGGAAGTCAAAGTTGCATGATAAACATCACAATCCCATATTCATGGAAATAACAGCTGCAGATGATCTAAACGTAGCTTTGATAGGATAGGAGGTCACTTGCAAGGAAATAGTTATTCCAGAGAAGTATTACCCTATAAAGACCAATTTAAAAGTCTCAAGTAAAAAGTACTCTTACCTGTCACTAACACTTTATTTTCCTCTTCCTAATTCAGGAGCCATCCCCTGCCTGAGAGGTCATGAAGAACACTTGCTTTGTGCCCAGAGAAAGAGGCTTCTGCTAAGCCCCCACCTCTGTGAGCAATACATGCTCTTCTCCTTTAGCCAGCTGTGGAATGGGAGGCACCACAGGTTCCTGCCTTATTCGATCTTATTAGTTGCTGAGAATTTCTACATTCCCAAAGGACTGTTATGACAAAGGTTCCAGTGAGGGCATTTGCCTCGCTGACTTCAGCAGCAGTTTATTCATGTGGGCACCTGTTTAATTTGCCACAGGGGACCTGTGCCTGTGATCAAACAGTGTATTGCTAAAGGCTTTGGGACCTGCTGAACACAGCATCCACTCTTCCTCATCACATGAGAGCAGGAAACCTCTGCATATCTTCAGAATTTGGCCAAACTGTACACCCTGTTGAAGTCAAGGATAAACTTCTGCTACTGCTAAGTTTTATTACCAGAAAGCTTTGCAGAAATACTACTGGACTTATATAGTAAGTTATTTTTAAGGTTCATTTTACTTATTCAGCAGGACTTACAAATTACTTGTCTCTTGACTTCTTTGGAGACATTAAAAGATCTCTGTCAGTTCTTTATGGGTAATTATGACATTAAGGCCATGCCATGTCACCGTATTTCACCATTAAACCATTATTTGTATCCTGCTGTGGGAATTTAAACTAAATGAGGGACTAATGGCACACAGCCTGCTTCTCTTTGGAGCAAACCAGAAGGCAGACCATGTTCTTCAACATGCAGCAAGGATGCCAGGCTGCTCCAAGTGACCGTGCTGAAAACACACCCTCCCAGCACTGGGGAGAAGGCAATAGGCAGGAGACACTTGCAGCTGAGTGATACTCAGTCCTCCTCTGCCTCTGAAAATGGTAAAGTGCTAAAAAAGACCCATTGAAATATATGTGATCTCTTCTAATTCACTTTTTAAAATGAGTTAAGCATACAGAGAGCAATTAGAATGCATATTGCAGAATCACAGAATCATAGAATGTTAAGGGTTGGCAGCGACCCTAAAGACCATCTGGTCCCAGCGCACCTGCCATAAGCAGGGACACCTCCTACTAGACCAGGTTGCTCAAAGCTGTATCCAACCTGGCCTTGAACAGCTCCAGGGTTTGGAGCTGTTCACAATCCACAGCTTCTCTGGCCACCTGTTCCAGTGCCTCATCACCCCCACAGTAAAACATTTCTTCCTAATATATAAATTAAATTTCCCCTCTTTCTAAGTTATACCCATTCCCTCTTGTCCTATCACTACAGTTCCTGAGAAATAGTCCCTCTCCATCTTCCCTGTACGGCCCCTTCAGATACTGGAAGGTTGCTATGAGTTCTCCATGCAGCCTTCCCTTCTCCAAGCTGAACAGCCCCAACTTTATCAACCAGTCTTTGTAGGGCAGGTTCTCCAGTCCTGTTATCAACTTCATTTCCTCTCTGGACTTCCATGTCCTTCTCCTCTTGGGGTCCCCAGAGCTGGATTCAGCATTGCAGGTGGGGGGACTCACCAGAGCAGAGTAGAGGGAGAGAATGACCTCCTTTGACCTGCTGGCCATGCTCCTTTGGATGCAGCCCAGGATTTGGTTGGCCTTCTGGGCTGAGAGCTCATGTTGAGTGAGGTCTCCCAAGTGTGTCAGG